GCGGCGGGTGGGTTCTGCGCAACTTGGGGGACTGGAGGTCTGAGTGCGTCTCCCCCGCCACCCCACCACCCCCCGGGGCAGGGAGGAACTTGGGAGGGGCAGCCACAAGCAGTTGGGGTCCCACAAGCCAGGCCTAGGAGAGCCGGTAACCATTTCCGGCTGTTTGGATTCAAATACACTCACTGTGAAACCACCGGCCCCAAACCTGCCTTTCGAGGCTTGCCCCTTCCTGCCTCAGGGCTGGGGAGGCAGGACCTCCCCCACACCTCAGTTTTGGTAATAGGAGGCCGAGAAACAGCCTCTTTCTGGTCCTCAGTTTCCCCAAAGTGAGGGGAGGGGGCAACACTTGGCCTAGCCCAGACCGTCTGTGAGTGTCCCCCACCCTAACTCCCCAGACTTTAGACCGAGCGTAGCCACCTGCTCAGAGACCCTTAAACGCCGCAGTGGGGCGGGGCTACGGGCGGAGTCAAGAAGGCGCCAACCACCCACAGGCTCCTCCCCCTCCCAAGTCCTGCCCCGGACAGTGTGGACCCTCCGTAGTCCTAGAGGCCTCGGCCCAAGTCCCGGCTCCCAGCCCCTGTGGGCCCCACCCAGGAGGACGCCCCGCCCCCGGCCAGCTTGGCAGGCCGCTGACCTAGTATGGACACAGCACTGGGAAGAGAGGCGTGGAGGGTGACGCCTGAAAGGAGGCTGGAGAGCCTCGGGTCCCGCCCCCATGGGCTGCCCCCTCCTTCGGAGGGGACGCACCTGCCGGTTGTGGGGGCAAAGCGCGGTGACTGCGCAGCTGCCGCGGTGCCTGCCCAGAGCTAAAAATATTTCCCAACAGACAGAGGAGTAAGGAGGTTCCCAAGGAGAATCAATTTATTGAAGAGTGGGTGCAGTTGGTCAGACCCTTAAATAGGAGGGGGCAGGGAGCCCGAGGACAGGATGGGAGCAGTGTCCTTAGTCACACTGGACACTGGGACCTTGAGACTGGGGGAAAATGGTAGGTTCCAGGAAAAGGCTGAGAGAACGAACTCCAGTATCCCCCCTCTGGGTGGGGACCTGGGGCTGGCCCAAGGGATTGCAAATAAACTCAGGGGCCAGTTTGGGGTCTGGTCTGGAGGCTCAGATGGTCTCATCAGGGGCCGGCAGGCGCTTGCGCGTAGGATCGACGCCCCAGATCTCCCGGGCGTACTGGGCAATAGTTCGGTCACTGGAGAACTTGCCTGATGTGGCTATGTTCCGGATCACCATTCGTGTCCACTCTCTTGGATTCTACAAGCCAAAGGAGAGCTCTGGGTTCATTCTGCCGGTGGGGTCCCCAGCTTCCACCACATCCCATCCAGGGCCACCAAAGCTTTGCCAACCCCTGGCCCAGGGCCCCTCACCTTGTACAAAGCACTGACTTTCTCCTGGCACTTAATGTAATCTTCATAATCTGCAAAGACTTTAAACCTGGAAGGGAACAGAGAGGCAGGAAGCTCCATGAGATCAAGGGCCAAGCCCGTCCCGTCCTGATGGTGTGCGAGGGCCAGGAGAGGGAAACTGCTTCCAGAAGAGCCTGGCCCCAATTGCCCAGGACCCCCACCCAGCCTCCCCACATACGGCACCTGAGCCCAGTTCAGCCCAGCAGCCCCACCTGCACGGTTCCCTGGCCAACCAGCTCACCGGTCATGGTGCATAAGCATGTTGACAATGTCCTTGAACAGGTCTGGCTGTTTGGGGGAGAAGAAACCACTGCTCAGCTGCTCAATGATATGCCGAAGCTCCGGAATTCGGTCATAGTACTCCTGGGCGTTGTACCTGTGGGGGAAGAACAGTCCGCACTGTGGCCAGGAGTTCCTGGCTCCTCCTCCAGAGAAAATCTGAAAAGTCCTAAGCCTCAGGGCCAAAACCCAGGCCCCAGCCTGCGGCGGCCCTCCCTGGAGCTGCTGCACCCCTCTGGAGGACCCTCTCCCTTCTCTGCTCAGCTTTTCATCCCCCTTGTGTAGTTGAGGCCTGGAGACGGCAAAAAGGTAAATGTCTGAGCCAAAGGCCCCAAACCAAGTGTTCTTTTTTCCCTCCCATACACCACCACCTCTCTTAACCAGTGTGTTTCCTTCCTAAATGCTTTCCTCGTTCCCTCTCCCAAGTCTGTTCGCCTTCGGGCCCCAGGAGGAAGCACCAGGCATGTCCTCGGACCGTCCTTAAACTCGGACCGTCCAACCGAGCCCATCGCTGGCCTGGCGCCAGCTTTCTTCCCGTGCGCCGCTTTCTGAAGCAGTCCAACCACCCCTCAGCCACCTGGGTTCAAAACCCTCCCGAGGCCAGTCTCCTCTCTTTCCTCGCCTCCCCACTTCCAACCGGCAACCAAGGGCGACTCCTCAACAATGTCCCCCATCCCCATCCCCAGCACTGGCAGTGCGGGCCATTCTCCTCGCATTATGGCGCGGCGGCCTCCACGCTGGGCCCCCACCTACACTTTGCCCCCCGCAGTCCGGCCTCCACCTTACACCCAAAATTGTCCCCCTGGAGCCTGCTTCTGAACGTGTTGGATCTGGCTCAAAACATGTCCTGTCTCCCTCCTATCCAAAGGATAAAGTCTGAACTTCCTAGTCAAGCCCAACAGGAGAAATTTCCTTTCAATATTTAATGCCAGCTCTCAGAAGCAGGTGGTGGGAGTGTGAGCCGCTACCAACTTTCTGGAAAGCAATTTGGCAATATGCATCAAAAGCCTTAAGAACTCGAAGAAGAAGGGAGGAGGAGAAGAAGGTCTCATGCTTGTTTTTTTTTTTTTAATTAAAAAAATTTTTTTAATGTTTATTTATTTTTGAGAGAGAGAGAGACAGACAGACAGAGTGCAAGGGGGGAGAAGCAGAGAGAGAGGGAGACGCAGAATCTGAAGCAGGCTCCGGGCGCTGAGTTGTCAGCACAGAGCCCAACGCGGGGCTCGAACCCACGAACCCTGAGATCTTGACCTGAGCTGAAGTTGGACGTTCAACCGACTGAGCCACCCAGGCGCCCCGGTCTCATACTTTTTTGACTCAGAAATATATCTCCTTCTAATAATTATCTTCAGGAAATAGAGATGTGGGCCTAGATATAAAAGGATGAGATCGCAGTGATATTTACACTAAGAAACAGCAGAAATCAACCTTAATGTCCAACAGTATGGAACTGGATAAATTACAGCATGTCCATACGATGGAACCCTATACAAACATTTTTAAATAGTTTAAAGACTATTTAGTAACATGGAAAATGCCTCACCAGTGCTGACATCAGCCTTCAAAATTGTACACGTGTTAGTCCCAACTTTCAAAACCCTACGTATATACACACGCATAGTGATACACGTAGAGATAGGACTACAGTGGGGCACCTGGGTGGCTCAGTCGGTTGAACGTCCAGCTTCGGCTCAGGTC